GCCCTCTCTCCTCCGCCACCCTCCCCATTCCAGATCCTTCCAGTCCCCACACACCCCAGATCACCCAGGTCCCCCTCCTTAGGCCCTCCCATCCCAGACCCTCCCCGTTTCCCTGCTTCAGGGGAATCAACAGAAACTGAGGAAGGAAAAAGAGAGTCAGTTTCAGGGTGATGTACTCGAACATAGATGGGATTACAAGCAAGGCAAGTGAACTAAGGGAAAGAGTATAAGAAGTGAACCCAGATGTAATCAGACTCACAGAAACAAAACTCTCAGGAATCATAACGAATGTGGTGTTTCCCCAGGACTACACAGTAATAAGGAAAGAGATTGAAGGTAGGGGAGGAGGCGGAGTGGCCCTACTAATGAGAAAGGAATAGAGTTTCAAGGAGATGAATATCCCGGGCTGCAAGGGATTCAGAGACTACATAACAGGCACCATGACAATGGGAAGACCAAGAATAGTAGTAGCAGTGATATATAACCCTCCACCAAATGACAGAAGACCCAGTCAAGAGTATGACAACAATAACATGGCAGTTAACACTATAATTGAGAGGGCAGCCTCTGCTGCTTGTAGAAATAGAACCCATCTGCTCATCATGGGCGACTTCAATCATGGAAGGATAGACTGGGAGAACAAGGAACCGCATGGAGGTGAGGATACATGGAGAGCTAAACTATTGGAGGTGGTGACAAGAAACTTCTTAAGCCAGCATGTTAGGGAACCCACAAGGATGAGAGGAAACGATGAACCAGCGAGACTTGACCTAGTCTTCACTCAGAACAACTCCGACATAAGGGATATCGGTTTCGAGGCCCCAGTAGGAATGAGCGACCACAGTGTACTGACGTTTGAGTATCTGGTTGAAGAAGGGTTAAGAAACTCGAGGAAGGGAACTGAAAACAAAAGGCTGACATTCCGAAAGGGTAACTATGAGCAGATAAGGAAATTCCCAACAGATATAACATGGGAGACAGCTCAGAGGAAAGACGGCCCAAGACATGATGGACTACATCATGCAGAAGTGTAAGGAGGCAGCAGACAAGTTTGTCCCGGTCAAAAAGGAAAACAGCGAAATGCAGATGAGAAACCCATGGTTTAACCAGAGATGTAGGCTAGCTAAGCAGGAAAGTAAAAGGGCGTGGAGAAACTATAGGAATAATAGGACACTCGAGAGCAGAGAAAGATACCAGAGTGCCAAGAATGAACATGTCAGGTTGAGAAGAGAGGCAGGAGGGCAATACGAAAATTTCATCGCAAGCAAGGTAATGGCACAACTTAAATTGCTGCACAGTCACATCAGGAGAAAACAACAGTAAAGGAACAGGTAATAAAATTGAGGATGGGGGCAGACGGATTCACCACAAACGACAAGGAAGTGTGCGAGGAACTGAATAAGAAATTTCAGGAGGTCTTCACATTAGAGCAAGGGGAAGTTCCAGAGATAAGAGAGGGAATAGTTAACCAGGAACCACTAGAAGAGTTTGAGATTACCAGTAGGGATGTAAGGAAGCTCTTGCTAGAGTTGGATGTGACAAAGGCTATTGGCCCGGATGGAATCTCCCCATGGATACTAAAGGAAGGAGCAGAAGCACTGTGCCTGCCACTCTCCATAGTGTATAACAAATCACTGGTAACAGGGGAATTGCCAAAAATTTGGAAGACTGCTAATGTAGTCCCGATATACAAGAAGGGGGATAGACAGGAAGCACTGAACTACAGGCCAGTGTCCCTAACTTGCATACCATGCAAGCTGATGGAGAAGATTGTGCGAAAAAACTTGTGGAGCATCTGGAGCGAAAGAACTTTGTAACACAGCATCAACATGGGTTCAGGGATGGCAAGTCCTGCCTCACAAGATTAATTAAATTCTATGACCAGGCAACAAAAAATCAGGCAAGAGAAAGGGGGGTGGGCAGACTGCATATTTTTAGATTGCCAGAAAGCCTTTGACACAGTACCACACAAGAGGCTAGTGAAAAAGCTGGAGATGCAGGCAGGAGTGAAAGGGAAGGTACTCCATTGGATAAAGGAGTATCTAAGCAATAGAAGACAGCGAGTCACTGTGAGGGGTAAGGCCTGAGACTGGCGAGACGTCTCCAGTGGAGTCCCTCAGGGGTCAGTCCTTGGACCTATACTGTTTCTGATATATGTAAATGATCTCCCAGAGGGACCAGAATCGTTCCTCTCATTGTTTGCTGATGATGCAAAAATTATGAGGAGGATTAAAACAAAGGATGATAGTAGGAGGCTATAAGATTGTAACACCTGTATTAAATATGAACTAATAATGTAACACTACTACTCATCTGTAACAAACCAAAGGTACCCTTCTAAGGAAATGCTACACAGGATTAACTACGCTGCCACCATCTGCCTTGTCCATTAACTTTATCAAGCAACGAGGCAAGCAACATTGCTTGACTTGGAGAGTCCTTTTTTTTTTTTAATTGTCAGTAATTACGCCACCAGGCTCGTCCCGTACTGAGAGGAATGAGCTACGAGGAAAGGCTAAAGGAGCTGAACCTCACATCCCTGGAAAACAGAAGAGTAAGGGGAGACATGAGAACCACCTACAAAATTCTCAGAGGAATTGCCAGGGTGGACAAAGACAAACTCTTCAGCACGGGTGGGACACGAACAAGGAGACACAGGTGGAAACTTAGTACCCAGATGAGCCACAGAGATGTTAGAAAGAATTTTTTCAGTGTCAGAGTAGTTAATAAATGGAATGCGCTAGGAAGTGATGTGGTGGAGGCTGACTCCATACACAGTTTCATATGTAGATATGATAGATCCCAGTAGGCTCAGGAATCTGCACACCAGTTGATTGACAGTTGAGAGGCGGGACCAAAGAGCCAAATCTCAACCCCCGCAAGCACAATTAGGTGAGGTGAGTACTGCTGGGATCCTATTTGGCGACTCAGTGTGAGGCACTGTGTTCACTCCTCAGTAATTTGAGGCCCCCACTTGGAACAACCATCATTAAACAAATATATCTGCAGGTATTTGTTTAATGATGTTAATGTTTAATGAGCTAAGGCAGGAATCTCTGCCTTAACTCCTTCCTTTACTATTGGTTGACCATGACTCTATTGTTGTCCCTCGGAGGTTACTTAAGGGGTCTCTCAGGCTGCAGATCAGTATATCAATTACTCACCTTTCTCTTCTTTAGTTTCTTACAGCCTGCATATGGGAAAAAGTTGTCCCATAACCATTGATATAACTTGAAATGTACCTATATTCATCAAACATAAATCGACCCCTGGCGTCCCCAGGCGTGCTACTAAATCTTGGAATTGCAAAAATCTTCCCTTGAAGATGCTACCTCGGGCGTTCTTGAAGATTATAAGCCCTCAGACTCTTCCTTTAAGGTCTAGCTTCATCACACGGCACCAATTCACTCCAAATAAAGGATGCCTTACAGTGTAAAATAAAGGATGCCTTACAGTGTGCATCTATATTCCCTCAGCTGTCGGGCAACAGTGACGCTTCTTGGGCTAATGAAGACCTTTAGCAGCTCCTCCTTGTAAGTTATGTGGCCTCAGGTCGGTGAGCCGATACGAACACTGACCAACCAGGTTACACGTCTACATCCGGAGCCCCAGAGCTTGGCCCTGCCTCGGTGAATGCGAAATCTCCACTTTTTTGTATTATTATTTTTCTACCACAGACATGGCCACACATTTACAATGCTAACCACCATATATACATTTTCTTCTGTCCTCCATGGACAGGGTGAGAGATTTGTCAAACATACAGATCAGGGATTTATTGAACAATCAACCACAAAAGGTGATTGTAGTACTTTTAAAATGCTAGGCTAAGCTACATACGTAAATACACAGATACACAAATTTATGTATGCTACGTAAAGTGTTTGATGAGTCTTTTATATAGTGTCATTAATGTGCATTTACAAAGGTGAAACGTAACTCTGATCAGCTTCCACATATAGGGGCCTCGTAGCCTGGTGGATAGCGCGCAGGACTCGTAATTCTGTGGCGCGGGTTCGATTCCCGCACGAGGCAGAAACAAATGGGCAAAGTTTCTTTCACCCTGAATGCCCCTGTTACCTAGCAGTAAATAGGTACCTGGGAGTTAGTCAGCTGTCACGGGCTGCTTCCTGGGGGTGGAGGCCTGGTCGAGGACCGGACCGCCGGGACACTAAAGCCCCGAAATCATCTCAAGATAACCTCAAGATATACTTTATACACATACATACACACACATATACATACATACATATATACACACATATCTCCACATGGAATGAGTGCAATACCCATAGCAATATTGTAAAATTATCAAGAGTAGGCTATCCTCCCCCCCCCCACCGAAACTCACAAATAAATTTATCACAATAAATATACATCCTATCTATATCTAATTTTAAGTAACAGTTGTCTTGATCCGTTTTGACATGTATATAAATATGTTAGTATGACTTGAAAGACTGAAGATGAGTATTAGGACGAAGATCTGTAGCAGTAATCATATGCATCCTAGCATTGTATCACTCTGGCAATTCAAAGATAATGTTACTAGAACAAAGGATAGAACATCTGGCAGGTTCTCCTTGATATTTCCTTATTTTTAACTTGTCTGTGCAGTATATACACTGTTGTTCTCCAGCTCAGACCATACTAAACTCTTTCAATCAAAAATCTCGCGGCTCTTATCAGTCTCCGTTCAACATGCAATTGTCGGCATCTTTCTTTCTTGCTGTTACATCGAATATTTTTAACATTGTGTTTTCCTTAACCATCACGAATATCTTATTATCTCACCGACGTTGGAGATTAGGAATCCCTGATCACATGTTCACACTCCCATTCAATGCTGTTTTGTCGAAAGCTTCATTGTTTAACCATTATGGTCTCCCTATTTTCCTATCTTTCTAATTAGGTCTCCCAATCTTTACCCTCATGTCTGCCATCGTCCCATGTATCTTCACGTTTCCCAGCACGTCCTCACCTCCCCATCTCGCCCCTAGGAGCCCACGCCTTCGTAGCAATTGAGCACCCAAACGAGATGTTGATGTACGAGGTAAAGACGACCCGGGCGTTGCAGGTGAACGACGCCACCAAGTACATGGCCAACCTCTTCTGGTACTACCAGGGCCGCAACTGGACCGACTTTATGTCCTACAATCTCACGGTAAGTCTTACACACAATCACTTCTGCACCGACTGATTTTTGGTGGGCTGAGAGTGGTGTCCCGGTGGGCCAAGAGTGGGGGTCCAGGCGGGCCGAGATTGGGGGTCCAGGTGGGCCGAGATTGGGGGTCCAGGTGGGCCGAGAGTTGGGGTCCAGGTGGGCCGAGAGTTGGGGTCCAGGTGGGCCGAGAGTGGGGGTCCAGGTGGGCCGAGAGTGGGGGGGTCCAGGTGGGCCGAGAGTGGGGTCCAGGTGGGCCGAGAGTGGGGGTCCAGGTGGGCCGAGAGTGTGGGGTCCAGGTGGGCCGAGAGTGGGGTCCAGGTGGGCCGAGAGTGGATGTGGAACTCTGCGTTTAATTCATAATAATAATTCATTATGTTGGGGGACAGGCAGCCAGTGTGTGTATACATTATACTTATATCGAGGCCCCCCCCCTTTCCCCGAGGTCGAATTACTAACCCCCAGGACGTAACCCCACAACAAGATAATTCCTGGGTACCTACTTAGTTGTGGGTGAACAAACGCATTAGGTGATAGGAAATGCGTTCAACCATTTCTGTCCCACCCGGGATTCGGACCCCCATGAATTCTCGATTGTGAGTTGAGAAAGAACCCGATTGTACTAACCTACCGCCAACGAGTTATTTAAATGTTACAATAGTGTATGACCACATTCGTCTGATTGTTCCTTGCCTCACAACGGATTCATTAGCAATGTTATGTTAACGATCATTACAACTTATGGTGACACATGATACAGCGATGTCAACAAGATCAGGTTTATCTTCACGCTCATGTTGGTGATGATGAATCAGAGCGCCGTTGAGTCGCTCCTATCATGCCATAACGACTGCAGCCTCCTGAAGCAGAGCCTGAGCCCCGCACCTTCAGACAGAGATAGCCTGAGCCTCGGTTGAGATGACCGGTGTTAAATTTCCTGTTTTTATATTAGCACATTTAAGTACAACTGCATTTATGCAGCAAAACTAGACTATATGAAAGAGGTACACACTGTGTGAAGAGCTAGTACGTGATGCAAAAAAAAAAAAAAAAAAAAAAAAAAAAAAAAAAAAAAAAAAAAAAAAAAAAATCCCCATATAAGATGATTAGTCATGCAGAGCCATGTGATTTTGCGAGGGTCTGCACGGGCAAATTTTGCATGCAACACGAGAGTTAATCAAGTGATTGCAAAGCCCCGGGTTCCTCATACCGGCAGGTCTGAAGGATCTAATGACTGGATGTTCAATAATGTAGTGTGTGAGGTCATGACCCTAGTTCCTGCTTACAAGCGGTTGTTTCTCCTCCAGAGACACTCCAACACATTAGTTATTAGACTCAATGTCCATCAGATAGGACTAGTGAGAGTGCAACATAGTTTCCTAACTTGTGCTTCAAACTCACACTGTATCTTGTACTACCCACTTCCCCAATATTAGTACTTAAGACATATCTTTACCAATGTAATTACCTCTGTAACTTATATTGTAGTTATTTGTTGATATAAAAAACTTGCTACAATATACCCTCTCATCTTGCCTAATATGTAAGATTAAGGACTTGCCCGAAACACAATGCGTGTTAGTAGTGATTTTTTCAAGAATGTACAAATACAAATCTTATGTAATCTCACCAACCCATTGAACCTTTTTGCAAATAAATTATTATTATTATTATTATGCCCTAATCTGGGTGGTGGGCTGGAGAGACCTCCACCAACGCCCGGGACTGCCATCTCACGAAAAGACATTGTACCGTAACTTCTGATGAAATTGTACCGTGAAGTACTTCAAAATGTACCGTTACAGTACCGATCTTATTTTAATTAAAATAACTTGGCAATAGTGATATTCCTTTTTATTCTCCCTACAACGTTAACCATTCTATTAGTCATTAGGCGAACTGGCTTGTATCACAGCGGTTTTGTCTATTAACCGTCTGTCTTTGCTGTCACTACCTCATAGTTTTGACAGATAATTACGGGAGAATGTATAATTTGGGTATCACAATAAGGATCTCTAAACAGGGATTCCTGGCTGCGCCACCAGAAGGTGCAGACGTCGGGCTTATGCTGTCAGTTGTCGTCTGCCGTTGCTGAGTGGTGGTTTGCTGTGGGAGATGTGTAGCGCCCGCTAGTCGGGGCTCCGCCTGACGGTATGGAACCGGCTGGTGTCAGCCGTATTCGGCGGATTGACACTGTACGGCTGTATTTTTCTGCTGCTGTGGACTGGCCCATTGTAGAGATTGCTCTCCTGGACGTACTCCGTGTTGACGTCCCCGAGCTCCTGGGCCTCGAGAAGTTATCGCCTACCCGTGTTGCGGTGTCGTTTGCAACGTCACATGTTTACCAGGAGTTTGTGGCTCGCTGGGATGGCCGCTCGCTTCCTCTTCCGGCTTCGGCTGTGTCTGTAGAGATCTCGGATCCCTGGGGACCCTTGTCTTTTGTGAGTGTGCACGGCATGCCGGTGACCTTCCCCGAGGTGGCCCTCATGTCCTTGTTTACGTGGTTTGGGATGGTGGTGAAGCACCGGTTCAACATTTTGAGTGCGGCCGGCTGAAGGGGTTCCGGCTGGGTTCACGCACGCTTGTCATGCAACTCACGAGCCCTATACCATCCAGGGTTTCGTTTCGTGGGCTCTCTCTCTGCGGACCTTTTATCAAGGTCAAACCTGCACATGTTTCCGGTGTGGTGCTGAGGGCCACGTAGCGGCCGGTTACGACGCTCCTCGTGCTGAGGCCCCTTCAGTTTCCCTGGAGGATGACTTTCCCCGCTTATCTGTGCGTGGGGATTCCCCGGCGGGTCCTCGCTCTGTGCAGGTGCCTGGTGTGGTTCCCGCAGCGGTTCCAGCTGTCGCTCCGTCTGGGCCGGATCTGTCTGCCCCACCGGTGAGCTCGGGGGACCTAGAGGCGCCTGCTTCGGACCTTCGCAGTTCGATGGATACGGAGGTGCATCCGCATCCGGTTGCTTCCGTGGTGGCCTTGGATGGTGCTGTTGGGGTGGCGCCTGCATCCCCTGCTGACGAACGTGTGCTTCCCGGGACCTCTTCTCCTCTGCCGATTTCGTCGCCCTCGCTGGATACCTCATGTGTGCTGGAGTCTACCCTTCCGCCTGCTGTGTCTCTTCCTTCGCCGATTCCGGTCTCCTTGAATGGTAGTGGCTTTTTGCCCCGCGTCGTTGAGGCTGCTGTTCTGTGTGATCGTGCTGGCCCGGCTTTGGGACCGCCTGCCGATGGTTCTTCTGGGGCACCGTTTGCTGGGGGTGACGGTTCCGGCGATCATCGGCCTCATTTTAAGTGTCGTCGTTCAGCTCGGAATGCGTCCCCTCGCCGGATGTGGGCAGAGGAGCGTGATGCGATGGATGATGATGCTGTGGACGAAGCTGTGGTGCCTTCTGTGTTGGACGCTGTGCCTCCTGCTGGTGGCTCCCCTCGGTGGGCGGTAGCCCATGGCTACCGCCATGGGCTACCCGTCACCCCCAGCACCGTTTGCTGGGGGTGACGGTTCCGGCGATCAGCGGCCTCATTTTAAGTGTCGTCGTTCAGCTCGGAATGCGTCCCCTCGCCGGATGTGGGCAGAGGAGCGTGATGCGATGGATGATGATGCTGTGGACGAAGCTGTGGTGCCTTCTGTGTTGGACGCTGTGCCTCCTGCTGGTGGCTCCCCTCGGTGGGCGGTAGCCCATGGTGATCGCGACCTCGTAGTGGTGTTGTTGAAGGATGTGCGACGGGGGGCTTCTGTTCCTGTTCTGATTGGTGGGAGCACTGGGACCCCTGCGGAGCCGCCCTCCGCGGGGCTCGGTGCGGTGCCCGGCGTCGAACGGAGTGCGCGCCCTAGTGAGGGGGCCGGTGTGCGGCCCGCCGTGCAGCCTGGTGTGCTTCCAAGTGTGCGGCCATGTGACCAGCTTCCTAGGGGGGAAACCCATCCCTTTCATCCTCCCGTCCGGCGAGGTGATAGACAGATCTAAGGCATCTCTGTATTCTAAGTGTGATACCCTGTTGCGTCCTGTTCCCTGGTGCCCATCTACCATCTGAGTTCCGTGGGTGCAGTGTTTCGTATTGGGCGTGCCGGATTCGATGCCTCGGCCTACTGCGATTCCTGGATGTCCGATTCCTGAAGGTGACCAACTTGTTTGGGATGCTTATTGTTTACGGTTTCCGGCTCGGGAGTACCCGGAGAAGTATGATTGGTGTGGTTGGTTTATGTCTGTGTTGTGCGTGGTTTCCCCAGTGCTTGCGTGCACAGGTGGGTGTCCTTGTCTGTGCGTGTGGGTGGTGTGGGTGTTGTTCCTGTCCAACCCGTTATCGCACTTGCTTACAGCCAATATTGGCTTATTTAATAAGTGCATATGTGACATACTAATTAATTGTGAATATTTTAGTTTACCTTGAAAAGCTTCATAGAAAACACCGACCTCACCTAACCTTCTTAGTATGTTAAGATAAGCATCTTATTGCTTCTTAATTACAATTATTACTTAACCTATACCGTTGATAGGTTAAGTAATAATTGTAAATATGAAGCAATAAGATGCTCTTCTTAACATACTAAGAAGGTTAGGTAAGGTCAGTGTTTTCTATGAAGCTTTTCAAGGTAAACTAAAATATTCACAATCAATTAGTATGTCACATATGCACTTATTAAATAAGCCAATATTTGCTATAAGCAAGTGCGAGAACGGGTTGTCCTGTCCCCTGCGTGGCCTGTTTTGTTGTGTTTGTGATTTGTTTTGTGCTTTGCCTTTGGTGTGGGTGTTTGTGTTAGGTTGTGGGTGTTTGGTGGTTGTGTATGTCATTTGTGTGCGTGTATTTATTTCCTTGTCCTGGTAATTGATTTATTCTTTGTCCATATTTTATGTTATTTATGTTCTCGTATGTAGTTTTTGGGTTTCATGTTACTTGGTTGTTGGTGCCCTCATTTGTGTCCGGTTCTGCTCCTTTGCGTGCGGGGTCGGACGGCCCGTGCTTGTGTTTTTATTTCTTCCCCTTTTCTGTTTTAAGGGTGGTTCGCTTTCTGTACATTTGTTATAAATTTTTGTGTATTTTTTCTTGTACGTTTTTGTTATTGTCCTTATGTCATTTATTTGTTGTGTATTTTATGCAGTTTCTTTGCTTGTGTCTTGTGTGCTTTCCTGTGCCCCTTTGTATGTATTTTTTGTCTGTTTCATGTTTGCTATTTGCACGATTGTTTTGTTGTTTTGAACTTGTTCCCTGTTTTCCTTCGGGGTGGCTCCTGCGTGGGCCTCTTCCTTTGCTCTGTACTAAATTTATTATTTATGCATTTTTTATGTTACTTATGGTGTGTGTATGGCGCAGCCTTTGTTGTAGACGTATTTGTCTTTATGTTCATGTTTTGTTGATGTTCTTTTTGCCTTTTACATGATGTGTCATGTGTTATGTCTTATACCGGTTTTGTGTTATTTTTCCTGTTCTCTCCTTGTTATGTGCTTTGTACTTTGGCTTTTTATATCAATAAAAAAAAAACGCCCGGGGATGCAATCTCACGAAAAGACATTGTACCGTAACTTCTGATGAAATTGCACCGTGAAGTACTTCAAAATGTACCGTTACAGTACCGATCTTATTTTAATTGAAATAACTTGGCAACAGTGATATTCCTTTTTATTCTCCCTACAACGTTAACCATTCTATTAGTCCTTAGGCGAACTGGCTTGTATCACAGCGGCTTTATGTCTATTAACCTTTGCTGTCACTTTACCTCATAGTTTTGACAGATAATAACGGGAGAATGTATAATTTAGGTATCACAATAAGATTCTCTAAACAAAGAAATCATTTTGAGAAAGGTTATAGAATCAGCTTTTCAGAACATGATTACAGACATTTGAACCAATTATGTCTATCATGATAAAAATAGGAGAAAAAACTAGGTTTCATTATTAAAATGTTTTAATTACAAAACTTGGCGGAAATCTAGACGTTGCTTGAAACATTAATAGATGGCTGCCATTCATAACGCGATCTAGCACACCCATTCATTTTTCTTAGAATTATTCCATTCACAGGCTTGTTTAGACTACTTTTGATTCTTAATTTAACAAGAGAAAATACTCTCTCTACGGTCGCTAATAAACGAGTTGAAACAATTACAGATAACATAAACTCACTCAAGGTAGGAAACACTAGCGATGTTTCTCAACCCATCTTTCTTGCCAGGTGTACCGAGATCTCACCAAACTTGAGGCGTTCCTCATCTCCTCTGTGCAAAACTATGGCTACGATGGGACTGTGTATAATTGGATGCAAAGGTGGACGGTGCCCAACGCTCTGCTCTTCACCATAACCATCATGACCACAATAGGTGCGTCCTCACGCTCTGCCGCACTCCCCCATGCTGAGTAAACCAGATAACCTCATGTGGAGTTAGCCTCATGCGGAGTTAGCCTCATTTGGAGTTAGCCTCATGTGGAGTTAGCCTCATGTGGAGTTAGCCTCATGCGGAGTTAGCCTCATGCGGAGTTAGCCTCATGTGGAGTTAGCCTCATGTGGAGTTAGCCTCATGCGGAGTTAGCCTCATACGGAGTTAGCCTCATACGGAGTTAGCCTCATGTGGAGTTAGCCTCATGCGGAGTTAGCCTCATGCGGAGTTAGCCTCATGTGGAGTTAGCCTCATGTGGAGTTAGCCTCATGCGGAGTTAGCCTCATGCGGAGTTAGCCTCATACGGAGTTAGCCTCATGTGGAGTTAGCCTCATGCGGAGTTAGCCTCATGCGGAGTTAGCCTCATACGGAGCTAGCCTCATGTGGAGTTAGCCTCATGCGGAGTTAGCCTCATATGGAGTTAGCCTCATGTGGAGTTATGCTACTTTGATGCATTAGTTTACAAATTTTACGTCAGTTTGAACTCGCATATAAGGGATACAGTATTTCTGTACTTACATTTACTCGGATGTAGTGATAAAATTACTGCATGATAATTCAACACACAAAAATTATTCCACGCGCAAAAAGAATTCACTACTAATTTACTACAATGTATAAAGTAATACGTCAAAAAAAAGTATATTAATAAAATCATGATCATAATTATTAATACTTAATGCATGTGTCTGGCGATACAAATTAATGACGGTACCCATGAACTAGTGTCTCCTCAACCTTCTTTAGTCACTCTCATGTTGAACTACCTTAACATTTCAACCTTGAGCTCAGTATATCTACCCCAGTAACAATGTTAACCCCCAGGTTATGGCAACATCTTCCCGGTAACGGAGTATGGCAAGTTGTTCTGTATCTTCTACTCCATCACCAGCTGCCCGCTTCTCCTGGTCTTCCTCGGCAACCTGGGCAGCTCCATGGCCCACGCCTTCACCTACATCTACAGGTCAGAGTTAATACCCAGCATTGTTATCAGTGACTTACTGCCGGCTCGTGGGAAAATAGAATTAATGGAATAAGTCACTGCAAGCTTCACACATTATAATAATTACAAGACAAATATTTAAGGGAATAATTAAACGAAAGACATTAATAAACACACCTTATGCGTTCTGTGGGTCCGGTGAGGTCATTATTGTCAGCTTGGTGTGGATGGCCGAGCTGGTCACCTTAATATTATTTGAAATGAAAATCAATGCGTCATTGTTTGTCAAAGGCTAATAAAACATATAAAGTATTCCAAGCACCACCAGCATCATGGGCCACCACCCTCACTCAGCGTGAACACTGCAGTGTGCAACATGAAGGACTGGGAGAGCTGGTTGTGCAACATGGAGGACTGGGAGGGCTGGGTGTGCAACATGAAGGACTGGGAGGGCTGGGTGTGCAACATGGAGGACTGGGAGAGCTGGGTGTGCAACATGAAGGACTGGGAGAGCTGAGTGTGCAACATGGAGGACTGGGAGAGCTGGGTGTGCAACATGAAGGACTGGGAGAGCTGAGTGTGCAACATGGAGGACTGGGAGAGCTGGTTGTGCAACATGGAGGACTGGGAGAGCTGGGTGTGCAACATGAAGGACTGGGAGAGCTGAGTGTGCAACATGGAGGACTGGGAGAGCTGGTTGTACAACATGGAGGACTGGGAGAGCTGGGTGTGCAACATGAAGGACTGGGAGAGCTGAGTGTGCAACATGGAGGACTGGGAGAGCTGGTTGTGCAACATGGAGGACTGGGAGAGCTGAGTGTGCAACATGGAGGACTGGGAGAGCTGGGTGTGCAACATGGAGGACTGGGAGAGCTGGTTGTGCAACATGGAAGACTGGGAGAGCTGGGTGTGCAACATGGAGGACTGGGAGAGCTGGGTGTGCAACATGGAGGACTGGGAGAGCTGGGTGTGCAACATGGAGGACTGGGAGAGCTGGGTGTGCAACATGGAGGACTGGGAGAGCTGGTTGTGCAACATGGAGGACTGGGAGAGCTGGGTGTGCAACATGGGGGACTGGGAGAGCTGCTTGTGCAACATGGAGGACTGGGAGAGCTGGTTGTGCAACATGGAGGACTGGGAGGGCTGGCTGTGCAACATGGAGGACTGGGAGGGCTGGGTGTGCAACATGAAGGACTGGGAGGGCTGGGTGTGCAACATGGAGGACTGGGAGAGCTGAGTGTGCAACATGGAGGACTGGGAGAGCTGAGTGTGCAACATGGAGGACTGGGAGAGCTGAGTGTGCAACATGGAGGACTGGGTGTGCAACATGGAGGACTGGGAGAGCTGGGTGTGCAACATGAAGGACTGGGAGAGCTGGGTGTGCAACATGAAGGACTGGGAGAGCTGGGTGTGCAACATGAAGGACTGGGAGAGCTGAGTGTGCAACATGGAGGACTGGGAGAGCTGAGTGTGCAACATGGAGGACTGGGTGTGCAACATGGAGGACTGGGAGAGCTGGGTGTGCAACATGAAGGACTGGGAGAGCTGGGTGTGCAACATGGAGGACTGGGAGAGCTGGGTGTGCAACATGAAGGACTGGGAGAGCTGGTTGTGCAACATGGAGGACTGGGAGGGCTGGGTGTGCAACATGGAGGACTGGGAGGACTGGGTGTGCAACATGGAAGACTGGGAGAGCTGGGTGTGCAACATGAAGGACTGGGAGAGCTGGGTGTGCAACATGGAGGACTGGGAGGGCTGGGTGTGCAACATGGAGGACTGGGAGAGCTGAGTGTGCAACATGGAGGACTGGGAGAGCTGGGTGTGCAACATGAAGGACTTTGAGAGCTGGGTGTGCAACATGGAGGACTGGGAGGGCTGGGTGTGCAACATGGAGGACTGGGAGAGCTGGGTGTGCAACATGAAGGACTGGGAGAGCTGGTTGTGCAACATGGAGGACTGGGAGGGCTGGGTGTGCAACATGGAGGACTGGGAGAGCTGGGTGTGCAACATGAAGGACTGGGAGAGCTGAGTGTGCAACATGGAGGACTGGGAGAGCTTAGTGTGCAACATGGAGGACTGGAAGAGCTGAGTATGCAACATGGAGGACTGGGAGAGCTGGGTGTGCAACATGGAGGACTGCTAGAGCTGGGTGTGCAACATAGAGGACTGGGAAAGCTTAGTGTGCAACATGGAAGACTGGGAAAGCTGGGTGTGCAACATGGAGGACTGGGAGAGCTGAGTGTGCAACATGGAGGACTGGAAGAGCTGAGTGTGCAACATGGAGGACTGGAAGAGCTGAGTGTGCAACATGGAGGAGTGGGAGAGCTGGGTGTGCAACATGGAGGACTGGGAGAGCCGGGTGTGCAACATGGAGGACTGGGAGAGCTGGGTGTGCAACATGGGGGACTGGGAGAGCTGCTTGTGCAACATAGAGGACTGGGAGAGCTGAGTGTGCAACATGGGGGACTGGGAGAGCTGCTTGTGCAACATGGAGGACTGGGAGAGCTGGGTGTGCAACATGGAGGACTGGGAGAGCCGGGTGTGCAACATGGAGGACTGGGAGAGCTGGGTGTGCAACATGAAGGACTGGGAGAGCTGGGTGTGCAACATGGGGGACTGGGAGAGCTGCTTGTGCAACATGAAGGACTGGGAGAGCTGGGTGTGCAACATGGGGGACTGGGAGAGCTGCTTGTGCAACATGGAGGACTGGGAGAGCTGGGTGTGCAACATGGGGGACTGGGAGAGCTGCTTGTGCAACATGGAGGACTGGGAGAGCTGGGTGTGCAACATGGGGGACTGGGAGAGATGCTTGTGCAACATGGAGGACTGGGAGGACTGGGTGTGCAACATGGAGGACTGGGAGAGCTGGCTGTGCAACATGGAGGACTGGGAGGGCTGGGTGTGCAACATGGAGGACTGGGAGAGCTGAGTGTGCAACATGGAGGACTGGGAGAGCTGGGTGTGCAACATGGAGGACTGGGAGAGCTGGGTGTGCAACATGGAGGACTGGGAGAGCTGGGTGTGCAACATGGAGGACTGGGAGAGCTGGGTGTGCAACATGGAGGACTGGGAGAGCTGGGTGTGCAACATGGAGGACTGGGAGGGCTGGGTGTGCAACATGGAGGACTGGGAGAGCTGAGTGTGCAACATGGAGGACTGGGAGAGCTGGGTGTGCAACATGAAGGACTGGGAGAGCTGGTTGTGCAACATGGAGGACTGGGAGAGCTGGGTGTGCAACATGAAGGACTGGGAGAGCTGGTTGTGCAACATGGAGGACTGGGAGGGCTGGGTGTGCAACATGGAGGACTGGGAGGACTGGGTGTGCATCATGGAGGACTGGGAGAGCTGGGTGTGCAACATGAAGGACTGGGAGAGCTGGGTGTGCAACATGGAGGACTGGGAGGGCTGGGTGTGCAACATGGAGGACTGGGAGAGCTGAGTGTGCAACATGGAGGACTGGAAGAGCTGAGTATGCAACATGAAGGACTGGGAGAGCTGGGTGTGCAACATGGAGGACTGCTAGAGCTGGGTGTGCAACATAGAGGACTGGGAGAGCTTAGTGTGCAACATGGAAGACTGGGAAAGCTGGGTGTGCAACATGGAGGACTGGGAGAGCTGAGTGTGCAACATGGAGGACTGGAAGAGCTGAGTGTGCAACATGGAGGACTGGAAGAGCTGAGTGTGCAACATGGAGGAGTGGGAGAGCTGGGTGTGCAACATGGAGGACTGGGAGAGCCGGGTGTGCAACATGGAGGACTGGGAGAGCTGGGTGTGCAACATGGGGGACTGGGAGAGCTGCTTGTGCAACATAGAGGACTGGGAGAGCTGAGTGTGCAACATGGGGGACTGGGAGAGCTGCTTGTGCAACATGGAGGACTGGGAGAGCTGGGTGTGCAACATGGAGGACTGGGAGAGCCGGGTGTGCAACATGGAGGACTGGGAGAGCTGGGTGTGCAACATGAAGGACTGGGAGAGCTGGGTGTGCAACATGGGGGACTGGGAGAGCTGCTTGTGCAACATGAAGGACTGGGAGAGCTGGGTGTGCAACATGGGGGACTGGGAGAGCTGCTTGTGCAACATGGAGGACTGGGAGAGCTGGGTGTGCAACATGGGGGACTGGGAGAGCTGCTTGTGCAACATGGAGGACTGGGAGAGCTGGGTGTGCAACATGGGGGACTGGGAGAGATGCTTGTGCAACATGGAGGACTGGGAGGACTGGGTGTGCAACATGGAGGACTGGGAGAGCTGGCTGTGCAACATGGAGGACTGGGAGGGCTGGGTGTGCAACATGGAGGACTGGGAGAGCTGAGTGTGCAACATGGAGGACTGGGAGAGCTGGGTGTGCAACATGGAGGACTGGGAGAGCTGGGTGTGCAACATGGAGGACTGGGAGAGCTGGGTGTGCAACATGGAGGACTGGGAGAGCTGGGTGTGCAACATGGAGGACTGGGAGGGCTGGGTGTGCAACATGGAGGACTGGGAGGGCTGGGTGTGCAACATGGAGGACTGGGAGAGCTGAGTGTGCAACATGGAGGACTGGGAGAGCTGGGTGTGCAACATGAAGGACTGGGAGAGCTGGTTGTGCAACATGGAGGACTGGGAGAGCTGGGTGTGCAACATGAAGGACTGGGAGAGCTGGTTGTGCAACATGGAGGACTGGGAGGGCTGGGTGTGCAACATGGAGGACTGGGAGGACTGGGTGTGCATCATGGAGGACTGGGAGAGCTGGGTGTGCAACATGAAGGACTGGGAGAGCTGGGTGTGCAACATGGAGGACTGGGAGGGCTGGGTGTGCAACATGGAGGACTGGGAGAGCTGAGTGTGCAACATGGAGGACTGGAAGAGCTGAGTATGCAACATGAAGGACTGGGTGTGCAACATGGAGGACTGCTAGAGCTGGGTGTGCAACATAGAGGACTGGGAGAGCTTAGTGTGCAACATGGAAGACTGGGAAAGCTGGGTGTGCAACATGGAGGACTGGGAGAGCTGAGTGTGCAACATGGAGGACTGGTAGAGCTGAGTGTGCAACATGGAGGACTGGAAGAGCTGAGTGTGCAACATGGAGGAGTGGGAGAGCTGGGTGTGCAACATGGAGGACTGGGAGAGCCGGGTGTGCAACATGGAGGACTGGGAGAGCTGGGTGTGCAACATGGGGGACTGGGAGAGCTGCTTGTGCAACATAGAGGACTGGGAGAGCTGAGTGTGCAACATGGGGGACTGGGAGAGCTGCTTGTGCAACATGGAGGACTGGGAGAGCTGGGTGTGCAACATGGAGGACTGGGAGAGCCGGGTGTGCAACATGGAGGACTGGGAGAGCTGGGTGTGCAACATGAAGGACTGGGAGAGCTGGGTGTGCAACATGGGGGACTGGGAGAGCTGCTTGTGCAACATGAAGGACTGGGAGAGCTGGGTGTGCAACATGGGGGACTGGGAGAGCTGCTTGTGCAACATGGAGGACTGGGAGAGCTGGGTGTGCAACATGGGGGACTGGGAGAGCTGCTTGTGCAGCATGGAGGACTGGGAGAGCTGGGTGTGCAACATGGGGGACTGGGAGAGCTGCTTGTGCAACATGGAGGACTGGGAGGACTGGGTGTGCAACATGGAGGACTGGGAGAGCTGGCTGTGCAACATGGAGGACTGGGAGGGCTGGGTGTGCAACATGGAGGACTGGGAGAGCTGAGTGTGCAACATGGAGGACTGGGAGAGCTGGGTGTGCAACATGGAGGACTGAGAGAGCTGGGTGTGCAACATGGAGGACTGGGAGAGCTGGGTGTGCAACATGGAGGACTGGGAGAGCTGGGTGTGCAACATGGAGGACTGGGAGGGCTGGGTGTGCAACATGGAGGACTGGGAGAGCTGGGTGTGCAACATGGGGGACTGGGAGAGCTGAGTGTGCAACATGGAGGACTGGGAGGGCTGGGTGTGCAACATGGAGGACTGGGAGAGCTGGGTGTGCAACATGGGGGACTGGGAGAGCTGAGTGTGCAACATGGAGGACTGGGAGAGCTGGGTGTGCAACATGGAGGACTGGGAGAGCTGGGAGGGCATTGCTCAGTTTGTCGAGGCTCTCACTTGTTTACCATTGTCGGGGACAGGAAGCCTAACTTATCACAACAGTTAACTTTCTCTCTGGTACCTACATAGTTCCAAGTAAAATCAGGTAATAGAAAACGTGCCAAGCCTTTCTCTCTGCCCGAGAATCGAACCCGGGAGCAATGGGTGTACTAATCACCTGTGTCTCCTCCACAGTCGCTGTTGCTGCCGCTGGTGCCGGGGCAGACGGAACTACGAAGAGCTGCCGGCCAACGCCAGCAAGAAGCAGCTGAGACTGTTGATAGACGATGAGATCGGCGAAGAAGAGTACATGCCCACCAGCAAGGTCAGCACCACACACCTCATACTCTTGTATAGCCCCTCATACTCTTGTATAGCCCCTCATACTCCTGTATAGCCCCCTCACACTCTTGTATAGACCCCTCACACTCTTGTATAGCCCCCTTACACTCTTGTATAGCCCCTTACACTCTTGTATAGCCCCTTACACTCTTGTGTAGCCCTCTCACCCAACCTTTCCTCGTAAGACCAGAGAATTTGAGTCACACTTACTCCAACCCATTTGGTTCTAATGTTCAAATCCACAAGGGCCGTGACGAGGATTCGCACCTACGTCGGAGATCATCCCAGACGCTGCCTTAATCGACTGAGCTACGACATGGTAAAAGAGTTGAAACCGAAGTTCTACTGAACTTACTGGATCCTGCAGCCTCTCCGAGACACAAACCAGGGTTTTACACAACTCCCTTCCCCCCAGCACTCGAGCTATGTCAATAGGCCGTTCTACCTTTTCGCCCTTACTTCATTACACACAGAAATCACAATAACGTGATGCATTCACGTTACTGGGATTTCTGTGTGTAATGACTCCAATGTTGTCTGGGAGACGAGTGTTACGGCCCCTTGGCATCTGGGTATGGTTCATGTGTCTTGCAATCGTAGTAATTAAATAGTAAATGTGACCTTGCCAATATAAATTGTCTAGGGGTGAAAACAAACGACTGATTCACAAACACATCAATATACTTCATGAAAAGGTAACAAATACACAAAACAATAATAACATGAAACACAAGTACTAGGACTCTTCAGAAATATTCAAGATATTTCATGAGGTGAAATAACACCTAATAAGCACTGATCACTATATATGTGAATAGATGCATATGCAAATAATGGTCTAACCAGAATATTAACTATGTTAGCTGAACTGAAACAGGCACTTTTGACTTCTCATTATTTTACAGGTCCGACCTAGTCAGCTCTACCCAGACGACTGGCGTGCTAGAGCAACCCGTTCTCGCACTTTCGTATAGTCAATATTGACTTATTAAATATGTGCATATGTGACATACTAAACTTACTAGTTTACCTTGAAAAGCTTCATAGAAAACACCGACCTTACCTAACCTTCTTAGTATGTTAAGATAAGCATCTTATTGCTTCGTAATTACAATTATTACTTAACCTATTATTGGTAAGGTCGGTGTTTTCTATGAAGCTTTTCAAGGTAAACTAGTATTATAGTTTGCTTGTGGGTTGGTGGTGTTGTCGTCATTGATCCCTCTCTACGGACAACCCAACCCACAACTCGGTAGAGTGCTTATACCTCTCTAGGAGATCACACTAGGTGCTTCTGGCTCTTGGAGAGGGGCTCAACGTCACACGTTTAGGGGATGCGGCTCCAACACTTAGCCTCGTTGTCACGTGCACACACCCACTCGAGCCGTTGTGACTCCCCACTCTCTCCTTAGATGATATGATCTCCTCGATCCCCCTTTGACTTATTAATATTACCTTTTACCCTGTCCACAGCAGTGGTTCTTGGTTCTTTCTCTCTCTCTCTCTTCTTCTGTACTATTTCATGGGAAGCCTCACTAGGACAAGGGCAAACACCAGCAAATTGGAATACATTTACTGGACAAAGCACATACACAGTACATACACACATATAATAATAATGAATCCTATACTCTATACTATTACAATCAGGTTGCTCTCCAACACCATCAGAACTCTATTATCAGTTTACCAAGTGGTATCCTATCTTCTGATTCACCACCTGATACTATCCACCTCCTCAAGTAGATCAAGTCTACATACACTGTTGCACTATCAACAAGAGGAATATATATATATATATATATATATATATATATATATATATATATATATATATATATATATATATATATATATATATATCTATAAATGTGTACAATGAAAATCAGCATGTGAATGCAATAACATATATCAGTATAAATGTTCCTTGATACACAACAATGATCAATCGATCACTCTATCAGTCCTAGAACACATACATCTGTAGGTAATCCAGCCTACGACTGTAACTCTAAACTTCAGTATAAAACACTCCTTGACATAAGAATGCCAACAATCACTCACCTCTCACTGCGTCTTGCACGCTAATGACAACCAAACACTATCAACTCCCTACAAGTAATCCACCAGAACTTCCCTTCCACCTCTGGAAGTTCACTACCCTGATCTTCAGGTTCTTCTGGGCCTAACTACCAGGATCCTCTGCAGCTCCTCCAGGCTGCTACCATGAAGTTTCTTTGAGCAACTACGGTGCTTCACCCTTCTGCTAGGGTCCTCCACAGCTCTCTTGGCTGCTACACCATGAAGTTTCCTCGAGCAACTATGGTGCTTCACCACCTCTACAGAAGCACGTGACACTCCTCTTCACTGCTTCTCCTCACAGCTCGAGGTCCTCTCCTCCACTACCTTGGAGTCTCATCAACTACTTCATCTGTGCTGGCTTCGAAGTTCTCAGCAACTTCTTCCCCAAAGACAAACCACAGATTGTCTGGTTGAGGGCGCTCCTCCCTCTGACGAAGCTTGGTCAGGGTGCTTCCACGGCCCACAATAATGTCTCTGGGCGGCTTAATGATCTTCTCGTCGACCAGGACTTGAGACCACAACGTTACCAGCTCGATTCTACAGCTGGCACATCTGCATACTTCTCTTCTCTTCGAGATATATCACTAGGGGTTCCCTTCTGACGGGAGCTCAACGGAGCGTGGCTTTCCCCTGCGATGCCTGGCACTCAAGTGAGGTCAAAGCCCCTCCAGAAGCAAGCCTCACGCCTCCAGCAAAATGTCCACATCTTCTAGCCAGTCATTTATCTGTTTTCTTCTTCACTGCCCATAATCTCAAATTGTTTATCATATCCAACCAGCTATTTTACATATGGGTTATCACCTCAATATTTGCTAGACTTTCTAATCAGGTCAGGCTTGATGAATAACTCTCAAGGAGGGAGACTCGTTTCTCCTGCAGGCTGAGATCATAACAACTAGTATGTTTAGTATGTCACATATGCACATATTAAATAAGTCAATATTGACTGTAAGAAAGTGCGAGAACGGGTTGGCTAGAGCCTGCTCGGTGTGGCGTCTACACATTACCAATATAAGACATACAAGACTGCTCTCGGATACTCTGCTAGCCGAGAGCAGTACTTATAAACATAATCACAAAAGAATATGCATTAATCTCTAATAAGATGTATTTTTTTTTTTACAAACAATAACCCCCTCCCTTTCTGGCTCGTTGTGAGGGGGCTTGGTGGGCGGCTGCCGGAGTGTGATGCTCCATGGGTCAGTCCTCTGTCCTTTTGGAACCTTATGCTCCGGCTGCTGTCTTTACCAATTTTGCCAGAACTCTCTTCCTTTTCCTTGTGTTTCGTTTTTCTCCCCCCCCCCCTCTTCTCCTTTTTAATTGTCATTTCCTGCCGACCTTTTGCCTGTTTTAATTATTCTCTTGGACTACTTCTATTTTGACGCCAGGGTGTTTGAGGAGGCATACTCTTGCACCCGTAGAACTGTAATATCTGACGTCGAGAGTGAGGGGAACCTTTTATTGTCAATCCTCCTTTCGTCACTGAACCCGATCTCGACGGACTCGCGGTTCTTAAGGTGGCGTTTGTGGGGCGTATACTCATGACGCACCCCTGGGGGGCCCCCGGCAAGATCGGGGATAGCTTCTTGTTGGGTGTCCTGCCTCTAATTGTGGCTCCATGGTGGGTGTGGAGGCACATACGTGAATGAAATTTTTTCCTCATTTTCATGGCTGATAATGTTTCCCTTGTTCCTTCTCAGGCTCATGGGGTGGGCAACCAAGCCCCCGAGTCGGACTGTGTTGGAAAACCAGGCCCTGTAGCCCCCGCTGCATTGGGCCCCAACCTGACTACTCCCCTCAGCTCCCCTCCTTCCTCTGCGGTAGGGTCGATTTCCCAGCCCCCAGTGGTGACCACCTCGTCCCCTGGCACGGCTCCGTCTCTCATTGTGACTACTGCGCCTTTTACCCCCCTCTCTCTCTGGGGTTCTCAACGCCGTCCCCGCCACGGCCGCACTTGCACGATCCCTTCCCGTACTAATACTTACAATGCCTTGTTTGGTCCTGCTACGTGGGCTAAATACTTTGATCCCCACCATCTGGATTCTACTCCTCCTGACGATTTCTCCCTCCATAAACACCTTGTTGATTCAGTAGATGCTTCTGTTACTTTTAACTCCACCAGTTACGGTACACGTGTCGTCGCTGCTCCTTCTCAGAATGCAGCTAATAGCCGCTTTGTCCCGCATTGGAGAGAACCCTATTCGGGTCTCCAAAAACGCTCGGTTAAATGCCAGTGTTGGCACTGTTCTCCTCCCACACCATGTTGCAACTGGTGTTTGGGACCTCAAAGATTGCCATGAAGGTATTAAACATATCCTTGAAGCCCAAGGCCATTCTGTCCTCCAGGTGGACACGTTCACTCGTCCCCCTCGTGGTTGTCGCCGTCAGCCCCTTCGAGTTGTTAAAATCACCTTTGATAGTAGGGCCCTTCCGCCCTCTATTATTCTTGCTGGTGCCAGATGCTCCGTTCATACATTCCCTCTCCTAGACTTGCAATAAGTGTTAGAAGTTCTGACACGGTGTCCTCAAATGCACAAGTACTGTGTATCTATGCCCCATGTGTGGGGACGATAGTCATTCTAAGTCCGAGTCCCCAGGCTCGCTGCCTCAATTGCAGTGAAGCCCACCCTACTTTCTCACACTCGTGTATACACTACAAACTCGAGGAAGCCGTCCTCAACTTGAAGCACCGTGATTGTCTGTCTTTTCCTGAAGCAAGACGCCAAGTTCGTCGTCTCACCCCTTTCGCGGGTGTATCCTACGCTCACGTGTTGCGTTCGACCTCTCCTAGTCCTTCCCACCTTCCTCAGTATCACAACCGTTTCCAGGCCTTAAACCCAACCACAACCACCACCTCCTCCCCTATTCCTTTGCCTCCTGTCCCGACAGGTCTCCCTCCCG